GGTTTTTTGGAAGGGTGTAAGGGTTGAGGCGTTGAGGGGGCGAGGGTTTGAGAGGGTTTTTCTTTAGATAAGGGTGTATGAGGGCGGTTTTGGGGCGAAATTGGAGGGTTGAATTGGTATGTAGTTATGGAATGAGGTTTGAACCATAGGGGGGGGTCTAGCGGTTGAAAATGGGCAAGGTCATCCCTAACTGTAGCACCAGGAGCCGCAACAGCGGTCGCAGCACTAGTCGTACTTCTACGACACCAGCACCACCACCACCCGGATGCATGATAATTCTATTCCCCTTGTAATTCTTACGAGTAGCGAGTACAACATGCCGCAGTGGGGATAACCCGGGGACGTCTTGAGCTTCGCAAATTTGAAGGATTGCCTTCGAACCCCTCCTTAACCAAACACAATGAAAGGCCTCTGCGCGAAGGAGGGAGACTACATCCCCGAAACCCAAAAGTCTTTGTCAGTGCGGAAACAACGAATCAACAGACAAAGAACACGCTTGCAAGACTCCTTTTGTTGAGAGCTTCGCAAACATCTTCAGGCTGCATGTGCTAGACACAGTATACCCGTATACCGTATACCCTAAGCCTTTCAAATCACTGCGAGGGGCCGACTGCAAACGAGGGGCTGGTCGGCCGCAAGGTCCAGCTGCTGCAAGTTTGATATACCTCGGCCATCATCACCATCATCTTCTTCATCATCACCGGGGCGGTGCCGGGTAGAGGGCAAGAACCCCGAGCTTCCTGAGTTACTCTCCGAGGCAGCGTGCAGCAAAGAACCGAAAACCCTCAAGCCGTATGTTGCAATATAGCCATCTATTAGTCCCCCCCCTCCTCACCCCTCCAAAAAAAAAGAACACCTTGGCACTGAGGCTCCGACTTCTGTAGACTCAACTTCAAAACCCTACCCAACGCCGTAACCTCGAAAGCCCTAAACTCTAGAACCCTCAGACCCTTTCTAGAACCCTTACAGCACCCTATGACGAAACCATAATAATATAAAGCCCTACCAAGACCCTCCAGAAAAGCTCTATAACGTCCCTAAACCCTAAACCCCAAAAGGGTCTCACCCCAACCAAGGGGCCAGACAGGGCCTCAAGGAGTCGCACGATGGGCGTCAAGCGCTTGCCAGAGGGCGTGGAGGAGTTGGAGCACCTTAGACATAGGCCCCATAGTACTTCCTTTTTGTGGTTTGTATCTATATAATCCTACTAGATGATCCCCAAAAACTACCATGGGGCCTATGGGCAGACAATGCAAACAGGCAAAAGCGATGATGAAGAAATGGTAGCCATGGTAATCATAACGTAGTAGTAGTAAAAAAGAAGGTAGTACCGACAATAATTGAAATCACAAGGTACTAACGGTAATTATGATAAGAAAACGAGCACCTTAGAAAGGTGTTCTTATGATAAGGATAGCTCCTTATAACTGGGAGTATGGAGGGATTCTGGTCCTAGGCCTTGGGCCTTAAAAGAACGGGACTATAGCACTGGCGGCAGGTTTGTTGAGGGTGGGCAAGGATTCTGGGATCGTGAGGCTTAGGGTTTGTGAGGCGGCTAGGGGTTGTAGGGGCGGGTCTTGGGGGTGGTGGGGTTGATTTGTTTTGGGGTGGTGGTCGGATCATTCTCTGCTCAAGGGTCCCAAGGTCCGAAAGCTTTTGGGTTATGCTAACGGACTTGAGCTATCAAGTATCAGGGTAGTGAGACAGCTCAGATAGTAGAGAAGTCCTAACCCAACTATAGATGAATAATTTCTCACCAAGGTGCTACAATCCAGGTCGCTGATTTTTCAGGAGTAACATGGATTCCATTCAGGGTTCAACGGCGGAGAGCTTGATGCCTGAACCTGAAGATAGAACCTAAAAGCCTTAAACCCATACCTACTGTTGAAGCTGTTTCGAATCATAAGACCTGGCTCTGCGGGCTTATATGGCCACCGTAGCCTTTGCACCAGACAGACGCCAGTAAAGAATAATCCTACACCGACGCCTTTCACTTCAATCTGATAAGGCACGCCAGTGTGTGCAGGGATACGTTCTTTGCCAAAAGCTCGCCTGCGTCTCAGGCAGTATATGGCTGCCGGAACACTTGCTGCAAACCTTATGCTCTCCAAGGAGGAAATGGAATCGCAGCTAGGATTACGCGGACGCTGGCGAAGCCCACATCCGAACTCAAGCTCCCTGCAACCCTGAAACCGACAGACCCTCAACCGAAAACTCCTCCACAACCCGGTAAAGTCTCGCAGAAACCCAGAGCACTCCGGGAAAAATGGAGCCTATGGTCGCAAAGCATTGCTCGTCGAAGGAGTTCCAGCTCAGGTCGAGTAGCTGGAGCCTTAGCCCCAGTAGGTTTGGGCGTTGGCTTTAAATCGGAGTCCCTGAGTCTGGTTGGGAAGGAACATTCTGGGTTCTGTTAGGATTGATGCTTCAGTTTCTGCTTTGAACGGCATATTTCGGTGTATCGGCTTTAAATAGTAGAATATTTGGGTGTATCGGCATTAATTAAGAGGGTGCTTTTACGGTTCAGGGGCCATGTTAGCACGTTCTTTTGTTTCGCGGTGTGGGGGTTATGGTCGTAGATTTGGAGATGCGGGCTCTTCAGGGTTGAGGAGGAAAGGGTACGGGGGATGCTGTTGGGACTATCATCGCTGGGCACTTTGGTATCGGTATTCCGTGCTTATTAGCAATGTTACTACTATGGGAGTCCCCCCTTCTCGTCATGATGAAAACACGTCTGCTGCTTTCGCTAGGTCCTACTCAAGTTCTATAATAGAGAGAGAGAGAGAGCGAGAGAGAGAGAGAGAGAGAGAGCGAGGGACCTACATGTGTCCAGCTCGTCAAAGTCTTGTTTAAACGTTGTAATGCAACGCAAATTTGGACTTGTCCGTGCCCTGCGCTGTTACTCCATCTCTGCAAAAAGACTGCTGTCAAAGCGAGTGCATCATGGGCCGCACTTGACAACAAAGGCCCATCCAAGCCTATGCTTACCCACCCTCCATCATCTTACGGACCAACTACGCCCAGGGACCTGTCATTGGCGAGCAAAACATGCAAGCAGTCCTTGGTATGCGGATTACATGAGATCTGTGGTTTCTGGATGCTTTTGGTATATTACCGTTGCATATCGGATCGCGCTTGTTGGGGTAGTCTTCTGCGTTGATCGCTATGTTCACGCCATGCCATGCTCTCGACAAGCTCCTACATCACCCTCTCTTCAAGTAGCCTGAGCCTACACTGGGGCCGACTGCACAAGCTCATCCTTGACCTTTCATTCAGAGTCCTTGCCAAAGATGGAAACCTGGTTGGTCCCAACCCAAAGCACGCTGGACTAATTGCCAGCATAAACGGACCCGCTTGGTGAGGTACAGCAGTACATGTGATCTTCGCTGAAAGCATACTTCGGCTTCGTAGGCGTACCCGAGTCGGATGCAGGCAAGCCGCACGACCAGAGATGTTCGTGTTGGCCAGCTTCAATTCGCGCAACTCGTCGTGCTCCCCTGGGCCAGGGTATTGTGTGTAGGGTTTCGGGAACTGGCAGCATGTTCAACGATGCACATGCCCTCTAAAACTCGAACGCTGCAATCGCCCCAATGCCCAAAGTCCCAAATCCAAGGCATACCGTAAGTCCAAGGTCTCTTGATTGGGGCCATGAGGGCAATCAGTCCTATATTGCAACCATAAAGCAATCCGACATGCTTGAAGCTGTTGTGAGAGAGTCTGTAGGGTTGAAGGCGTTGAAGGCAAGCTTGGCACTCTGAATGTCAGAAGGATCCGCTAGAGCTTTGCAAACACTTAAATGCGCCGGCGTGCAACTCCTCATTGAAGCAGTCTGCAGATGCAGGTGTGCTGCATTACTAGGTGTGTTGAAACTAGCAGCGCCCCCAGAGAATCCAAAATCAGGGTTCTACATGAAACCAACAAAGAAGGAATCAGTTCTCCCAAATCGGTACTTGGTTTAGGCTACAGGTTGCACTGGACATCACGGGACCACGACGTAACTGCTTCTAACTTCAAACCACAATGTAAGGTCTTACTGCTCGTCTGCATGCGAACACCATGGCTTCCATTGGGACGCTTTGCACAGCTCAGAGTACCCCAGCTACAGCACTGACGCGAATCTTCGCCCTAGACCCTAAACCCCTACTTCGAAACCGGCAGCCAGGATACAAACACGACATCCCAAATCTTACACCCTAAACGGCGCTAAATCCAAAACCCTAAACCCTACTGAACATGTTCCTACATAAAAGTCCCTAACGTGCAGCGTGAAGCACGGATGGTTCCGGAGATGTGCACTTGGGCTGCCAGGCTCAAGCGGACCCCACTCAGATCTAGGGTTCCTCGGGTGGAGGGGATCTTTTGGGGCTTGCATAGAATTCCTCTAAGGTCGCCTTGAGGGACTTACTACAATGGGTTCTGTTTCGGGATCTCTGATATGGAGGGGTCTTGATAATTCGAGCAGGGTTTGGGGGGGGGGGGGGGGGTGCATTGCAGTATGCTCATAGTCAGCACCGCTAAGGAGTAACGATATTGCTTCCTTCTTTGGGCTTCGACATTAAGGCTTCAGGGTTTTGTTGGAGTTTAGGGTCTTGTGACGGGTTTATGGGGTCTTCTTATATATGGGTCGATCGGATCCAGAATGGTTGTGCACCGCTTCCAACCACGTTCGACAAGTTCTATAGTTTTATACGGCTTTATGAGCCTTCTACATGGCTGGTATACGGGCTGTTGCGGGCTGAGGGATCATGTTAGGGCTTCAGGGCTGTAGGAATCACACTGTAGTGACTTTAGTGTCAATGGCGAGGGTGTGAGGGTTCCGGGGTTGAGGTGGTGTGGCTTTTGGGGGTTTGGGAAGGGCTACATTCCCAAACAGCTGCTCGCTAGTTTCGACCGATCAGAAAAACTAACGAAAGTCACCTCTGCTGCAACTAAACAATCTTGAGCTACAAGGTCAAAGTGCTCGATTCTACACACTGAAGCAGCCGCGAGGGAGAAGTAATGTCGCCATGGCACGCAGACGTGCAGCCTGATCACCTTGATCATCGATGCGGTGGGGTCCATTTCTGATTGTCACATGGCCCGGTGGTACCATGACCATGACGACTACAACAAGAGTATTTAGTAGATGATGCTGGTGACTCTTTGCAAACTTTTCTTGATCGCTCCTGTTGCTGCTGGCACAGCAGGGTCGCTACTGCAACAGAAAAATGCTTCGAAGTTAGCCGGGCTTCGACAACGAACTCGCATTGGAGGGTTTGAGGTATTTTGGGCACTTGCCTGTCTTATGACGCAGGTTCGGGAGAAACTACGGCTTGCGTAGCACAGGCAAAAACAACGGACTGCTACAACGGATTTTTCCTCAACATTGTGCCATCATGTGCACAGTACTGCATCCACATCCGATCCTGTTCACTGCAGTCACCGCTCGCACTTCCTTCCAACCCAAAGAGCGTTAATTAAGTTGGCCCCCACCTCCCGAGCACCGCGAACTGTCAAACCGGAACCCAGTCCTAATCTTGCAGAAACTCAACAGTCCTAAGTCCAAAGTCCTGAGACTTCAACCCACCCACGAATCCCAAAAGGAACGTGTAGAACTCAAATCTGACGGAGGATTTGCCCTGAACCCACGGCTGCCGCCTTTATCTTTGCAAGCACAGCAGCTTTCCACCAGCGATGCCAATTTCGTTGCTGTCTTCAGAGACAAAGCATGACCTGGATAATGCTGATAGCCGTGGTAGTATCATAACAATAACTCAACAATGATACAAAAAGCTATGATAAAATAAAATACAACAGTGATAACTAGCTCACTTTGGATGTAATCTGATGCCAGTGCATACGAAGAACAACAACAATCATGGCATCCAGTAGCAAAACTATGGTGCTTCGTTCGGGGATCGACGCTTAACTAAGAAGTTGTTCATGCATTTCCAAACACTTCCGGCAACAGTCAACCCTGACAGCCCGAAACCCACGCATGCTCAGACCCCTAAGATTGTAAGGAAGCCCGCCACCCTCGTCACTTTGGGCATGAAGGGCCTGCAACTTCGTGATACACATCTCCACAAGCTTCAAAACGTGGATGGGGATTTCATTGGAGGCTTCCGATGTTGGGACCTCTACGTCAGTCTGCCCCCAGAACCACAGCTCAGCGACACTTCGACCCCAGCTTCGGGTGACGTGATGTCCGCAAGTTTTTTCGAGGGTTTAAGGTTTAGGGTTTAGGGTTGCTCATTCATGCGCAGAAGGCCTCGAACCTTCCAGCCGCGCAACACATCTGCACCCCGAGACACTGAACAAAACGGTTGCTACTCATCCTGTTGCAGCTTTTGTGTTGCACTCAAAAGCCTAAACCCGAGACCCCAAACCCCAAACCCCAA